CAGAACACTGAAGTCTACCCCATCCTGAGTTCTGCTCTCCATGACCCACACTACTTTGCAAAGCCAGATGAGTTCAACCCTGACCACTTTCTGGATGCCAACGGGGCGCTGAAGAAGAATGATGCCTTCATGCCTTTTTCCATTGGTAAGTGGAATCCTCCATTCCTTTCCCGGACACCAGAGGGCAGGCTCCACCCTCTTCCTGAGACAGGCAACAGCAGGTGCTTGTTTATTGAGCATATAGCATATTCTAGCTGCTTAGTCTGAACCATCCCCATTCTGTCTGCACTACAAGCTGGTGAGGGGACTTGAGAGGTTAGATTATGTCCTAAAGATACATCTTGCGGTGGGCCCCAGTGGCTCACCCCTGTCATCTTACTCAGGAAGCTGAGATCTGAGGATCACAGTTCAAAGCCAGCCAGGGTAGGAAAATCCTTGAAACTCTTTTTTTTTTTTGGGCCGGTTGTGGGGCCTGAACTCGGCCTGGGCGCTGTCCCTCAGCTCTTCAGCTCAAGGCTACCTGAACTCGGCCTGGGCGCTGTCCCTCAGCTCTTCAGCTCAAGGCTAGTGCTCTACCACTTGAGGCACAGCGCCACTTCCAGCCTTTTTTTCTTTTTGCTTATGTGGTGCTGAGGAATCGAACCCAGGGCCTCAGGCATGCAAGGCAAGCGCTTTACCACTGAGCCACCTTCCCAGCCCCATCCTTGAGACTCTTATCTCTAATGAACCAGCAAAAAGTCAGAAGTAGAGCCATGGCTCAAGTCACTTAGCCTTGAGAAGAAAGTGCTCAGGACAGCACCAAGACCTTGAGTTTAATCCCCAGGTCTGGCATGCATGTGCTCCCACCCCCATCAACAACAACAACAAGGAAAAGAAACATATAGAGGCTTCCTACTGCAGACAGACTGAACTAATAGACTACGAGAACCAAGGAGATATCAAGGGTGTCCAAGTAGCCCTAAGGAAAAAGAAGGGAGAAAAGCCAGTCCCAGAACCAGTTCCAGGAGAAGGGCCTGCTTGAGCCCTCCTCAACACCTGCCTCCTCCATTCTAGAGGTGCCAAAAGATGTTGGACCCTTGCCCACGCAGGCGCGATTCCCCACCCACCCCACCCACATTAGGATTCCTCAAGGAAACCAATGTTGAGCTAACAGTCTATGAAACCTACTTTTCAGCTGGGTGCTGGTGCTCATACCAGTAATCCCAGCTGCTCAAGAGGCTGAGATCTGAGGATTCAAATC